CGCCGAGGAGTTGGAGGCGTTCCTGAAGGAGGTTCACGCCACGTACCCCTCCCTCACCCACTTGCACAGCATCGGGCGCTCGGTGGAAGGTAGGGGCCAAGGGCGGGGGCGGCAGGGGGAAACTGGGTTTATTTTCTTTGCGATTGGGACAAGCGTGGGTCAAGGGCGCTGCGGTGGCTGCTCTGATGGTGCCTCTCTCTGCTTCAGCCTCTGTGAAGTTTCCCTCTTGCTTAAGCCTGAATAACGAGCTCTGACGACACGTGTGGCGCTTCAGCTAGGACAGAAGATCTCCCAACACCTATTTTCTGATTTTTTTTTAACACTTCTTTAAAATTGGAAACCTCTTGAGTGGCAATTTCAGAATAAGAGCTTAAAGCCGTGTGGTAGCCCGGTTTGCGAAGTGCCCGTTCTAAGGTGGGGCTGTAACTGGAGTGTGTGTTTTCCAGCTTGTGGGTATGTTAAAAATATCTTCTCTTCTGGCTTTACCTATTATTGCAGTAAATCTGGACTGGCTAGAAAAAGGATTTTTGGATGCTAATCCAACAGCTTGTGTTTTAAATGAAGAGTAGGTTTCCAGTCTCAAACCATACAGGAAAATTTACTGAAATCAATAATTGCTTTTCTGGCCTTATATAGCTACTTGAATTTATCTCTCTCTGATTGGTGCTTCCTTACAGTAAATTTGTAGAGAAAAGAAGAACTTTTTCACTTATTTGAACACATTAGGAAGTTTACTGTTTATTAGCGTATAAATACTTTAATGTCTACTTATACACAAAAAAACCCCAAATTTCAATTCAGAAAATTAAATTGTTTTCCTAACAGGTATAAAACTTGATGAGGAAGTTCACTCTTCAGGAACATCTGCTTCTGTAATCCCATTCCATACCACTGTAAGGTGACAGTTGTAGCATCTATTACCAAATCTATGCTTGTGTTTAAAAAAAAAAAAAAAATCTAGAACCTCATAGGAGGATAGTAATGGAGAATGATAATCGTTTCTTTTCATACCTCTTTCATGTGTTACTTTGTCTCTTCAAAATTTTTAAATATAGTTGTATTTGTATGGGACTTTCAACTTTTAGTTGAAAAGAGGATTCTATTTCAGTGAGGCATCTAACAGCCGTCATGTTGCTGTGGGTATGTTATCTTGTTTCTGTGCATGTCTCAACTCATTTTTTTTAAAGTCTCATGAGAAGGCTCAAACTAAAGAAGTAATCTTAAAGTTATTTAAGTTGTGTTCTTGGTTTTATCAAGGGCAAGATCATATAGGATTGTTATTCATCCGTGCAAGAGAAGGCTAGTCCTTTAAGTACAGTTCCCTCCAGTACAAACTACCTATCATCCACATCTTCATTTTCTTACCTTGAGGGAACTTAGCTAACATTTTAATGAAAGGACTTCTCTGGCATGAACTCTGCCAGCTTATCTTTGGGCAGGTAGGACAGAATCTTTCATCTAACCCAAGAGACTGAAATTTTGGCTTTTATGTATCTAGACATCTGGAAGTTGATAAGATGAATTGTTGAACTTTCTAAGTTCCCCGAATGTGAAAACGGTAAATATATCATCTCTTGGCTGTGATTGAGCAATGCACTGAGACTTTATTTGAAGTTTTAGTATATTGCCTTCTGCTTTGCCAGACTGCATGAGGCTCTCCCTTGTTCTGCCAGCTACATGTCATGATTCACAAGAAGGTGATCAGTTATGCTTTTTGTGTGTCCTGTGTGCGAGAAGTATTCCTCTGAATGGAAAAGGTGGGCAGTGGAAGCCTTGTCAGTGCCATAAAAAGCAGAATGTCTGTGAAAGACGTTCAGTTCTTCTCTATTCTTTTCTTTTTTCTAAATGTTAAAAAGTTTCTACCTCTGTTAATAAACATGCATTTAGAGTCCCCTGAACTGTGTATGGAACAGAATTAGGTGGTGTTTTGTTCGTTGGTTTCGAGTTGGGTTGAGGTTTTTTCACTCAAATTAAAAGAAAGTTTTGTGACAAGAGTGGTTATATCATATCACTTTTGTGAAAGTGAAGTTTCAGCCTTGGTCAATGAGCTAAATTTCGGTTCCTCTTCTCTTAGATGAGATGACAAAACCAAGTATGTGTGTATGCACACTTGCTTCCTTGTATGGGTTTACTAGTGTTGTCCTGCTATCAATTAAATAAACTGTGATAGCAAAGTGTATTTATTGGTGCTAAGAAACAGAAATTAATTTAAATATTATAAAAGTGAGATCAATGTGATGTAGTAACTTTTCTGTTAAGCTGTGGGCATTTCTGATACAGAAATTGTTCATATTAAATACCAGGCTGTATGGAAGTGTTGATCTACTTGAAAGTAGAGAGGTTCTGCAGCAGAATCTAGATAGGCTGGATTGCTGGGCCAAGGCTAATTCCATGAGTTTCCATAAGGCCAAATGTCAGGTCCTGCGCTTTGGCCACAACAACCCCCAGCAGCGCTACAGGCTTGGGGAGGGGTGGCTGGAGAGCTGCCAGCAGAGAGGGACCTGGGGGTGTTGATGGACAGCCGGCTGGGCATGAGCCAGCAGTGTGCCCAGGTGGCCAAGAAGGCCAACGGCATCCTGGCCTGTATCAGGAATGGTGTCGTCAGCAGGAGCAGGGAGGTGATCGTTCCTCTGTACTCGGCTTTGGTGAGGCCCCACCTTAAGCACTGCGTCCAGTTTTGGGCCCCTCACTACAACAGGGACACTGGGGTGCTGGAGAAGGAGCAGAGGCGGGCTACCAAGCTAGTAAAGGATTTGGAGCATGTGTCGTACGAGGAACAGCTGAGGGATGTGGGGCTGTTTAGCCTGGAGAAGAGGAGATTGAGGAGAGACCTCATCGCTCTCTACGACTACCTGAAAGGATGTTGTAGCAAGATGGGGACTGGTCTGTTCACCCTAGTGGCAAGTGATAGGAGGAGGGGAAATGGCCTTAAGTTGCACCAGGGGAAGTTCAGGTTAGATATTAGGAAGAATTTCGTTACTGAAAGGGTTGTCAGCCATTGGAACAGGCTGGCCAGGGGGAGAGGGTTGTCAGCCATTGGCACAGGCTGCCCAGGGAGGGTGTTGAGTCACCGTCCCTGGAGGTGTTTAAGAGACGGATAGTTGTTGTGTTAAAGGACGTGGTTTAGTGGTGTTGATAGGGCTAGGAAAAGGTTGGACTCAATGATCCTGAAGGTCTCTTCCAGGCAAAACTGTTCTATGATTCCATGGAATTCTGTGAATCAGTCTGGTGGCTATAAAACCACCAGACATAATTTTGCTGTTATTATGAAGGGCTATTGTTCCCATGTTATTCTGTAGTATAGGTTTTACTTCAATTTTATCTAATAATCTAGTATTATATACTGCCATCTAGACTTGGATTATGAAGAATGTGAAGTAAAGGCTTGGGTTCTGACTGGCATGTGTAGACATGGAACTTTGTATAGAAACCACTCCTAGATTCCCCAATGTGAAGTGTGATAATAGGGACCTGTGTATTACTGCTTCAGAAAGTGATTGCATCTAGTTCTTCAACAGAAATATCTAAACATTCTTCATGTCAAAAGCCTCACATGCTCTAGGCAAAACATAAAGTAATTTAGGTCCGGAGGCCATCTAATTTGAGCTCATGTTCAAAGCAGGGTTAACTCAAAAGTTAGATTATGATCTTTAGGGCCCTCTTCACCCAAATTTTGAATATCTGCAAGAGTGGCGATTCTACAGGGTCTCTGGGTACCTGATTCAGTGCTAGTTGTGGAAATGTGTGTTCTTGCATCTGATTAGAATTTCCTTTGCTGTGAGTTGTTACCGGCCCTTCTGCTGTGTACCTCTAAGAAGGGTCTGGCTATGTCTTCTATAATGTCCCTTTAGGCAGTGGAAGGTTTTAGCTGCAGGATTTAGCTGTATCCCCCTCTGGGCTAAACAGCCTCTTCTTGGATGTGGTGTGATCATCTCAGTGGCCCTCTGCTGGGCTTCCTGCAGTGTGGTGGTGTCTCTCTTCCACCAGAGAACCTGTAGCTGGACACAGTACTCCAACTGCAGCTTTACTAATGCTGAGCAGAGGGGAATAATAATTTCCTTCAAGTTTCCAGCTTATGTTCTTGCTGATGCAGCCCGGCGTACAAGTTGCCTTTTCTGCTGCAAGAGCACACTACTGACTCACATTTATCTCATCCACTTGGATGTTCCTTCCACACCCTGTAACCTTTAGGTTGCAGAACTAACCAGTCTGCGGCCTGTACGAGCATAGAGTTGTCTTCTTGGGCTGATAAACCTGATGTGGAGTTCTTCCATTCCAGGTGCAGGACTTTGCATTTGCCTTTGTCAAACTTCGTGAGTTATCTGTGGAGAAATTCCTTCAGCTTGTCAAGGCCTCCTTGAATGGCAACTCTGGGCCTGATGAAGATGTGGAACAGTATCAGCTTCAGTACTGACCCTTGAAGAAGCTGCTAATAATTTGCTGTCACTTGAACCCCTGATTACTTGTCGCAGCCAGCTTCTGACCTCACTGTAGTCTGCTCATCTAATGCAGATGTTTCTAGCTTGTTAATGGAGGTAACATGAGGGAGACTGAGTACTGGAAGAAGCTGCTCAGGGAGGTTGTGGAGTCTCCGTGTTTGGAGATATTCAGAAGCCATCTGGACACACTCCTGGGCAACCAGCTGTAGGTAGCCCTGCTTGAGCAGGCATGGCTTGAACCAGGTGACTTCCAGAGGTCCCTTTCAACAGCTTCTATGATTCTGTTGAAAGCCTTGCTAAAGTCAAGGCTAAAGGAATAAAGTGCTTTCTTCTCTACCACTAAACCAGACATTTCTGCATAAAAGGCAAGCAGTCGAGTATGATTTGTCATGGATAAATTTGAGGTGAGATTTACAAAGTGTGTTTATTAGAGGTATGTAGACGACTACTGTAGCAATCTATGCACCAGAACCGGTACAAAAGTCTCAAACTAAAAGATGCCCAATCTGTTTTACGGTGGTTTACATCACCATCTGGAACTTTGTTGCCCCTCTGCCAGATTGTTAGGAACATCTCTGCTAGATTACTTGGAAGGATGTGTTCTAGACTGGCAGTGGCCTGTTCAGTCTCTGTCCAAGTCCGTATATGAA